TAATTAGCCACCGGAAACATGTGATCGTATGAACGAACCAATCTTCTTAGAAAGTGGGATTTGTTTTACGATAATGCTAATTGAAGTATTATACTCGTAGTTATGTGTACATTACTATATTATTTATATATATATATATTTTTTTTGAGGAATACTATATTATTTATATAGTTAAAATTTTTTTGACCAAATTTCTCTGCATTATTTTATAAGAGAACTAATTAAATCTCAATTCCATTATTTGCATTTTGCGAGCTCAATTATTTATGACTTTAATTTGAATATTATTGGAAATGATTTAAATGAAGATACAACTTTTGACAAATGTTCTATATCATTATTCTAATTTATCTTCTGTTTTGGGTTTACACGTGTTCTACAAATCTTCAATACAAATATTATTTAGTATCTTGGTTGCTACTTGCTACAAAAATTTCTTTCCAGTTCCAACCCATTGACTAGTAGTGGTAAATTTGTATAAATTAGAAAATCTTGTAATTTACCACTCCTCAAAACACCATATATATTTTGAACTAACTATTCAATCTAATTTTTATGTGAAAATATCACTAAAAGATGTCAAAAATAAAGGGAAAAAAAAAGAAAAGAAAATATCACTATAAAAAGAAGAAGAAGAAGAAGAAAAAAAAAAAAAAATTCACAGCCACTTAACATTTGCCGTTAGAACTTAGAACGGTTAAGTTCCATATTTTTTTAAAAAAATCATCAATTTACGTGATGAAACTTGCTCTATTAAAGTTTAGGAGGTCATTGTGATCTAAAAACTTTGATTTGAGGCCAAATTTGACAAAACATTCTCAAAAATGCATGCATTACGTAAATCTGATATGTTTTAGTATGCAAAACAAGAAATTTTAATTTTTTTTTGTCAATTTTAACCTCAAATTAGATTCTTTTGGACCTAAATGATCGATCTGATCTCAAAATGTCTAATGAACATGTTTTTAGCCTGAAAACCTAAGAGATTACATATATTGTAAATGAAGAATGTTTTATATTAAAAGAAATCTTATAAACACAAATTTTATAAATTAACACTTGTAGATATCTTATATACAAGCATGCAAACAACAGTCCATCATCACCAAAATATGTACAATTATCCATGCCATCCTTACATCTCACTATCACTTTGCCCTATTCTCATTCATAACTCCAAAACCAAGCCCATTGGGATGGAAAAATGGGAGGATCCCCATATATATTTTCCAAAATTTTGCTATTTTTTGGGAATATTCCTATATAACTATATTATTCCTCTTTTACCATATTTTTCAAAACATTCAGTTTTCACCTTGATAATATATCCTTTCACAAAAAGCATAATTTTTTTTTTTAAACTAATGGATTTATATACGACATGTACAATGGCGAATAATAATGGAGCGAATCATGCCAGTCAATTTATTCACAAGTGCAGATTAATATAATACTAATTGTACTTTATATTTTTGGTTTTAATAACTAGAAATCCCTCCTTGTCGACTTAATTCAGGAGATTATTTCTTTAATAAGATATGATATTTAAACATCTTATGGGTTATGGTAGATGAGATTTGACATCCCTAATTTTGTTTAGCATGTACACAACTTTCAAAACATAACATTATTTATAAGGACAATTTGTCGGTGATTAAGTTAATTAATTGGTGTATTTTCACCAAAAAAGATTTGCTAAAAACGCAAAAATTGGGCCCTGAATTTTCCAATTGGTCAGGTGAAGTACGTCAGTCCAACAATAATATCGATTGGTGATAAATAATTGCCTAAAACGACGGTAATTTGCCCTACCCCTCGTCGCCCCTACATGATCTTGTCCAAGTTTACTCAATTTTATTTATTTATTTATTTTTCATTCTCAAGGAGAAATTTAGATTAGCAAAGTGCATAAATTTTAGAGCATATAAACTCATATCTTCCTAAAAGGACCCCTTTATACTTAAGCAAGATAACAAGATTGTATACTTCGTACTTTACTCATCAGTCATACGTGATCAACGGTATATAAACATAAATTTCAAGGTTTGTTGATGAGTAACTCTTTTAACTGTCGATTTTTTTTTTAATTTTTTTTTTTTAATGGAATCTCTAGAAGAAGAGTAATGTCAATTTCATAAATTACAGTAGTCACGATTATTTCTATAGTAATTTATAAACAAGCTTATTAATAAGAGTTGAAACTCGCTTTTTGAATTTGACTCAACACATTTAAAATTTTGTAGACAATGAACTTACAATATTTCACACTAAATAGTTACTTTTTTTTTGACAGAACTACTCGTGTGTAATTACTTGAATTTTGTTCAAGATATCACCTACGAATATATAGTATTCTCTTCCAAATAAAGGAGGAGATATAATAAAAGAGGGACCATTGCACCTTGCTCATATATCGAGCTAAATTGACGACTTAGTGCTCAAAAATTACTGTTATTCTCAAATAAATATATGGAATATAACCCATATATTAACACATACAAATAAAGTTAATACACTCTAATTATTAGAGCAGTAGATTAATAGCTTAATTGTTAATCATAAATTGTAAAAATAAAAGGCGGCTAAGCTCGTCATAGCTTGGTAATAAAGATGATGTTGGATTATTTTTTGGAGCAATGTGGGAACTTTAAAGAGAGAAACTAATTACCATGATTATAATAATACTTATATATTATATTAGAGAGATGTTGCCTTGCGGCATAGGCTTAACTAGTGGAAGAATATCCTAATTTCCAAAATATAATAATTCAAAGTATTTGTTTTCATTGGTTAACTAAGCTTTAATTATGCTTTACACTCTACAAAGACGTAGATGCTTACATTAAGAATCGTTAAATACCCTGACCAATAAATTAGTGGATGCCTTTAGTTTGAGCATATATACGTAAATCATGTACTCATATAATATAAACTGTTTTTTTTTTTTAAAGGTGAGAAAAAGAAAAGAATTAGGACCCCCTCCTCACGAGGGGTGATCCTAAAGCATATGAGGTGAGAATAGGGTATAAAGCTGAAGAGGTACAGAATGGAATATCCAATTTGTCGGTGACAATATGCCCAACATTTGCTATCCAATCTGCTGCTCTATTTGCTTCTCTGTAGACATGTCGGAGTTCCCAATGGGGGAATCTGTGAAGTAAGATCTTGATATCTTCTATAATGTGATCAATTTGCCATGGGGTCGACCAAATACCGTTTACTGCGTAATATAAACTGATTTTATACTCGGTATTTTATTAGACAAGAAGATCAAACACGCAAAACCTATTAAAAAATAACAAGCCTACTCTTCTTGCCAAGTTGGCAGTTTCATGGGCTACCAACTACCAAGTAGCAATCAAAGATTCAAAGAGGATCATATAACCAAAAAATACAAAAAATCTTTACAAAACTTGAATTGATGCATTGTTGATTTTTGCTCTCTACTTTAATTGTTCTTTTTTTTTTCTTTTTCATTTATTATTATTAGTTCTCTTATACTATGTATTCTACATAATCGTAATTCAATAATTTAAATAATTTTAAGTATCTATCGAGCAATAACAGTTATGTTGTACATTTTTTTATCAACACGATGTATTCGATTATCAATCCATATCTACTCCTCATTGCTTGCTCACCAAATAAGGGGAATATAATGATTTTAAAGAACACATAAAATACTCTTTACTAAGAATGTCTATGCAATTGTATTATTATTGTTCATTTTGATATGAATTGATTAAACTTAGGGCATGTTTTCATACGTTTATTTTCAGTTCAGCTCAGCTCAATTCAGTTTAGTTCAGCTCCTAATTTCCTTCTCTTATAAAATATTCAGTTCAGTTCAGTTCTGTTCAGCTGATTTCAGTCTATTAGAACAGGCCCTTACTGTAAAACAATTTGTAATTTTGTACAATAAATAATGTTACTCTGACTCAAACGAATAATATATATGAAATATATACGACGTAATATGTATATTTTTAAGATTCCATCTTATGCACTTTTTATCGCGAAACTTTGTTTGTGTTCCATCCGTCCTCAAGGCATGGAGACATATTTGAAGAGAATGTCCATAAGGTAGTCTAAGATGACCAAGGAAAATATGCAGTCGAGGGAAATGTAATCAAATTTTTCTCAAATAAGTCAAACATTCCACTCTAGCAAAAGAATAGGAGATGTTTAAGGAAAAATAAAGTGATGTCGACCAAAAGACAATTTCATTTTGTCGGATTTAGCTTTATTGATTATGCTGCTTTTCTTAATTTAATCATGTTATTAAACACGTCTAATTAATTTGATGCTTAGCCTCTAATTACTCATACTTTTTATGTTCATTCATTTAACTTATAGCGACTTCCTTCAATTAGAAAACAAAAAAGATGAGTGCATTTGACGAAAGATTCGGATATTTTCTTAAGTAATTACGTGCATAAACAATTAACCATTAATAGGTTTGATATTATTTATTACAGGCTTACGAAAGGGATCGGATCTTATGAGTTTTAATCAACATGATACCTAATTTATGTAGATTCTTAAACTGTTGAGCAATGCAATTTGCAAAAGTTAATACACTTTAATTTACTCCGTATAAGATTAGTACTAATTGTAGGGTTAATTAAGTTTTAGGTGGATACTTTGGGTGATTTAAGAAGCAAGTGCATACGGTTGGATAATGTATAGTAGTTGTATAAAATTATGCAACAATATGTCATAAAAAGGTAATTATATAACATTGTTTTACGCTAACAAAAGTAAAGTTTGTTGCTTATAAAGTTTTGAATTTTCTTGAATAAGCTTGTTAGTTTAACGAAAGTGTCGTGAGTCATGTTCTTATACCAGAATATTGTGTATGATTTAGCTCAATTGATACAACAACTTTGCACGTAACTAGTTAAATACCATAGCTTTAGAAAGCAAGAGAGGTTTCTTTCCTTCAAATAATTAATCAAATTTGTCGTATTGATATCAATGATATGATTATTAGATTAGTAATGACATATGAGGTTTAAATTAGTGATTTTGGAATTTCGTCTTGATGAATAAGCATACAAAGATAAATCAGAATTTCGACTATAATACTAGTCACATTAACCATAAGTTATTTTTTCAACTTTGAAATGTCATTTTTTAATTATTGCACTGTGTTTAGAGAGCAAATACAAGTTTCAGATTGCCAAATGATAGATTTTATAACATAACTTTCGATAGCTATGATGAGTTGAATTTAACAAGAAGACTTATTTTTATTTTTTTTATTATTGTTATATATGTATTATGACAAATATTTCGAGGAATTCAAGGATGAGTGTTCTCATTATGTGATTTTTGTCAAATGATGAAAATAGATAATACTTATCCGGTCTATTTGGTAGCCGTTAATCAATTGCACTTATGGAAATGATGTTTAAGATCATTTGGGATAAAAAAATAATAATAATAATCTCAACCGGAACATAATCTCATCCCCAAACCCTTTTTTTTTTTTTTACATGTTTTATCATTACCACGCACTAGGCCACTACCATTAGGAATTTAGGAGGGAGTGGACATTTATGAATAAATATAGACAATTATGAGGTTAAAATTTTCCCCTAATTCACATACAATTTTATTGTCATATTATCATTGTTTAATGTTTATGACCAATTATGAAAGAAGTTGATAGAGTTATAGGGTTAGTTATTACTCAATTTTTAAAGGCATGTTGCTTTAGTAGATTCCAATTTCCTAGACATTCATTTGCTTACCAGATGAGGGCCAACATGATCCAACCCAGATCTATTACTTGAGGCCCATTACACTTGATCTTAGCCCAAAGGCCGAGAAAGGTATTACTTGAGGCCCATTGATTTATCAGTTGTTTGGGAAACAACCAGTGATAAACTGACCAAGTGCAACTTCTTAACTTCTTTTAGCTCAACTAAATTTTAAGACGAATGCTTTAGTTAATTTAATAAATGCATTTGTTGCCAATCTTGTCATCTCAGCAAGTTGTTATGGACTTTAATGTACCAAACTAGCAAGCCTGGTTTTACAATCTGTTGCAGAAATAGGCCCAGTCAGCCTGACCGCCTGGCCCAAAAGTTCACAATTCAAGTGATTAAAGTCTTTGGGCTTTTGTTTTTTTTTTTTTCGTCCTATTTACTTTAATGTTGTTGGTAGAAGTTTGTGGAAAGTTGAGGAAATAGGATGTGGCATAAATTAATAATTGCTGAAGCATCATTGAGTTGAACATTTGAGATGAATACTGATGAGGAAGTTATGAAGCTGCCAGAAGGACTAAAAGAGTCCCTTTTTCTAAAGGAACTAGAGCTCTCCCTTACTTTCTTATATTTTATTACTACTCTTATCATTGCCTATATATAGATTGTGATGTTGAGAACTTATCATCTCAGAGTTAAGCATTTAATTTGCATTGTTGTTGATCAAATATAATAATTAACAGCTTTCCCTCTATCAAACTTTCGATCCTTTGGATGGTTTTTTCTCAACCATTGCGAATGTGCCATCTGCTGAGGACACCTCTGCTATTGTGAGCACGAGGGTTGATTGGAAGGAGACTCCCGAGGCTCACATCTTCAAGGCTGATCGATCTTCCAGGAATGAAGAAGGAAGAGGTAAAGGTTGAGGTGGAGGAAGGGAGAGTACTTCAGATAAGTGGAGAAAGAACCAAAGAGAAAGAGGAGCAGAATGATAGGTGGCATCGTATGGAAAGGAGCAGTGGAAAGTTCGTGCGTCGGTTTAGGTTGCCGGAGAATGCTAAGATGGATGAGGTGAAGGCTAGCATGGAGAATGGTGTGCTCACTGTCACTGTCCCAAAGGAGGAAGTGAAGAAGCCTGAGGTCAAGGCCATTCAGGTCTCTGGCGAATGAACCTCTAATGTTTGCTGATTCACAACCAATTCTCTTTATATATATGTATGTATGTGTGAATCAAGTATTGAAGTTGCTTTAAGATATTTCCTATCATCACTGTGTTTGTGTAGAACTATGTTATGGATTTGTACTGTTTAATGACTATTTCGAGTAATATTTCAATAATTTCATTCTAGTATTTGGATTTATAGTATTTTTATTTGTTTACCCTCTAAATTATATAAAACACACTTACACAGTACACACTACGAGTAATAAGACATTTTTGTGCAAAATCAGTTTTCATATGACACTACTGTCTAATGAGATTGTATTATGGACATAAATGGAGTACTTAGTGTTTCGGGTGAAAACAATGGGACCTTGCCGAAGGTCCGCTGAGATGGAGAAGACTGGATTCGGTCCAAGTTATGTTGGGCCGAAGGTTTCCTGCACAGTAAACACACGTAAACTAGCCTCGGGGGTGTTGCCGAGGAAGGCCCCTCCGATGCTAAAGTCAGTACAATGTGTAAGAAGAAGACACTATGCAAGAGAGTTTGTAGCTTGAGGCTTTTATGGAATATATCAGAATATCTCAATGAGCATATGAATCAGAATCTGAATATGAACGTGAATGTGTGAATGTGTCAATATGATGGCTTTTATACCTCATCATACATGGAGAGGTTGGGCCTTAGCCCAATTGGCTTGCTTTGTGGGCTGACCTTTGACTTTTGCACAATTGGAGAGTTGAACCTTGACCTTGGGCTTTTAATTGGATCATTTAGTGCTTAGGCCCAATTTGGACTAAATTGGACCCAAACAACTTGCCCCCAGACCCGATTTGGAAGGATGACGGGTCGGGTTTGATTTAATTCAGAAAAGGAGGGAAGTAAATGATTTAATTGATCCAAAAATTTGAATTTAAACCGTAATTAATGAGATAACAACGGTTAATGATTGCGGAAGTTGGACGGATAATGGGCAGTTTAATCGCAAGATCATGTGTTTAATGGTTACTTAGTGGGTATTTAAGAGAAATTAAAACGCAGACTCCTCGTATCCCGTACCTGGAGATATAAACAGAGGCGCGTCATTCTCCTCACTTATTCACCAACACAAACCCAGAATTCTCAAGAGAGACACCAAGAACCCGCATCAAAACTTCGCAAATTCCCCGAGCATTAAGCTTAGAAACTGAGACTTGCCACTACGAACTCGTAAATCGGCAACTTTCGCTTCAGATTAAGGTAAATTCCTTTGATTTCAGTTTATTTTTCTTTGAATTCGAACTCCTTCCCCTTTTCTTTCGACTTTTCTCTTCGAAATAATCAATGGCAAGAGGAGTTAGAGGTAGAGCCCGTGCTCCAAGAAGAGCAAGGCCGATTCCCGATCCTAGGAACAGGATTGGGACCTGGAATGGTCAAAGGCCGGAGTCTGACCCTGCTGAAGGGATTAGGGCGACTCCCCTTTCCTCGGCTCCTCCTCAAAGAACGGAGGAGCCGAGCGCTTCTGGACGGGATGATGAAGTTCCCGCTGTCCTTTGGGATATCCTCCCTGGGTTTTCAGAATGGGAGAATGCCGAAGTCGCTTCGGCCATGATAAAGAACCGCCCCTACTCATGGTGGGTAGAGAACGCCGATCAATATCGATTTGCCGAGCAAATTGAGTTGCATTACGGCATTTTTGAAGCTGATGGGTATTGGTGCCGAATGCCCTCGGCATCCGATAGAATCCATCGTCCACCCCCGGGGTATGTGGGGGTGTACACGAGACAGCTTCAGTACGGGCTGAGGTTCCCTTTGGACGTATTCGTCCGAGACTTGCTGATCCATTACAACATCTCTCTATGTCAGCTAACCCCCACCAGCATCCGAAGGGTGATGACGTACTTATGGGTCTGCAAGTTCTTCAAGTACGTGCCGAACCTGCACTGCTTCAAAAAGCTCCATCGGCTAGTGCCAAATATTCAAAGTGGGCACGGAAGCCATGGTTCTGGGTGGTACCGGATTGAGTCCCGGCCCCAATACCTGACCATGTGGCCAAATGACTCTTCAGACAAGGACTGGAGAGGTCAATGGATTTGGGTTAGGGCACCCACAGATCCGGGCCACCCTTGCGTCTTCAGCGCTCCCCGGTACCTCGCTGAGCCTGATCCCGAAATGGGAAGTCTAGGTCCCCCCGCAGATAACGGGGCGGATCCGAACCTGGATCAGCAACATATCTTCGGCAAGCTGCCGAACCGGGGGGGCAGTGGTCGAATGCAGCATATCCCGGAGACTCGGCTCCCCGATACGCATTACGTTTTCCAAGAGAACATGCTAGCAGCTGTTGGCCTCAGCCGAAAGTTTAAGGATGGTAAGCTTCTTCGGCTGGGGCCGAGGCTTTTTAACTACCTCTTTTTCTTCTCTCGCTTTGCTTTTTTATGCTGTGCCGATCTATCTGAGCTAACCTTTCCCCTTTCCTTTTTTCAGAGCGGGACGAGACCAACGTTGGCATTAACTACGCTCGTCTTGGTGTCAACCGAGAACGAGTTGTAACTGAACGGGCCCCGTCTATCACTGAGCCGAGGCATAGGGAAGTTCATCTAGACTCTTCCCACTTCCAAATTGAGGCTGTTGCTCTGTATCAGAGGCAGAAGCCTTGGTGGAAGAAGAGAGACCCTTGGTTTCAGCTGCTGGACGAAGAAGCTGAAGCTGCCCGCACAGCCGAAGAGGTTGCACGGGTACTCGAAGCTTGCGAAGGAGGAGAAGGGTCCTCCAGAGCTGCTGAAGCCGAAGCTGCAGCTAGAGCAGCTGAAGAAGACGAGGCTTTGCTGAAGACCTCGGTGAGCTTTCAGACAACTTTTTCTTTTTTCTTTTCTTTTTTTTTTTTTTTTTTTTTTACTCACATTCTTCTTCCCCCCTGTCTGTTATAGTCTGAAGAGAGTAACAGACACAGAGAAGGCAAAGCTCCTGTTCGTCCCGAAGACCAAATACAAGAGTCTTCAGACTCAGATATGGACGAGCAGCCCCTTCTGAAAAGGCGCCGAAGGATGGCCATCATCGGCCCTCATGACTTTCAGCGGAGGCCGATGACCATCGGCGTCGCAATAAGGGAACCCGAGGAAGGCAACGGATCGCCGAGGGTTCCCCAGCCACCACCCCAATCACCTCAAAAGACCCCTCCGCCACCTCCTGAGATGGAGGTGGATCAGAGAACTCCCGAACCTAAGGGAGGGGTCCAAGAAGAAATCAAGAAGAGTGCTGCTGAGCACGAAAATAAGGATGCCGTGATGTCCAGTGCTGAGGGCTTCACGGCAGACATCGCAAGAGAGGTTGAGGCTTTCGTCCTCACCCCTGAAGAAGAGGAGGTCATAGTAATTGACTCCTCTGAGAAGGATGATGCTGAGACAACCAAAGCTAATCAAGCTCCATCGTCATCCTTCCCTTCTTTCCAGACTCTGCATTCTGGAGAAATGGGTTTCTCGGCCCCCCGAATTCCAATCCCAGACCACATCTGGGACCTCATATGGGGTCAGAACCGAGAAGGAGCTGCAGCCTACTTCGGCAATTTTGCTGGCATGTCCGAAGTAGACAGGGCAAGGATCTGGTCGCTGAAGGCCACTGCTGGGATGGGCGAATCCAGCAGATCAGTTCCTGACCCAGCCAGGTCTAACCAACTGCTGATGATGCAGGTAATTTTCCTTGTCTTCATTTCCTCTGAAATTCAACTCTTTATATATATTTTTTTATTTATTTATTTATTTATTTTTGTCTTCCTGCTTTCAGTTCGTGCACAATCAGACTCTCACTGTAGAGCTGATAGATACCCTACAAGATAGGGTAGACGCTGCTGTGCACGACAAGAAGGTGGCTGAAGAGGAAGTTAAGCTTGCTAAGCTGAAGCAAGCAGCAGCTGAAGAGAAGCAGCAGGAGGTTGAGGAGTATGAGAAAAGAGCTGCTGAAGCCCAAAGAGCTAAATTCCAAGAGGCTGAGGATCAACTGATGATCCAGAAAGTTGAAGTGGCCCAAGCCCAGACAAGGCTTCCCAAATTCAGCAGGAGCTGAACGAGCTGAAAGGTTCCTCCTCCAAGCTCGCTGATGAGCTGAAGAAATCCAAGGAAGACTTGGCGGAGACCCAGAAGAAGCTGGCTGATGCTGAGGCTTTACTCAAAGTCCGTGTCTATACCCAAGAGGAATATGAGATGGGTTTCAGAAACGGGTTCCGAGTATGCCGAAGAGTCTGCCTTCATGCTGAGCCGAAGCTGGACTGGTCTAAATGTGCTGAGTGGGTCCAGAATCCCGAAGACCCTCATATGAAGTATGCAACTCCAGCCGAAGCTGAAATTCTTAAGGCTGAGGAAGCCGAAGAGGAAGCTGAGAGACTGGAGTTGGAAGCTGAGCAGAGGGAAAGGGAGGCTCGGCAGAGTGCAAAGCCCGCTTCTTCTGCTGCTGGGGCTGAGGCCACCATGGGGCTCAACGCTGATCAGTCTGATCCTCAGGCTGAAGCATAGGAACTCGGGCAGTCGTCTTCAGAATCTTGCGGTTCATCATGTGCTTAACTTTAGACTTGTCGCTTTTTGAGTTTTTTGCCTTGTTTTTTGCTTCAGCTTGCCTTGTCGTACAGCAGTTTTATTTTTTTTTGCTTATGTACGTATTTCGGCAGCTGTTATTTTCCGCTTGTGGGCGGCTGCCGATACTGAATTATTGAACTTGTAGCTCAATTTTTGAGCATGAAATATTAATCTGATGCTCTTTTCTTCAGTTGCTTTATTTTTGAATGCTTTACTGTTTCTTTTCTTCAATTCTGCCGAACATACTTGCACTGAGTGCTTCTTGCCCCCCCAGAAATTGAAGTATGACTTCAGCTGAATAAGCAATTTCTTCACTTCTTCAAAATGGGTATCCGAAACACAGGGCCAACTGAAGGCAATGCTTCTGGGATACAAGTCTTACTGAAGATTGACTTCGTCCGAAAGTTGGATATCCGAAACACAGGGCCAACTTGATAAGTCCTATTTTGCACATGTTTTAGGTGGGTATCTAAGCTCATTTTATTACAAAATTAGAGATCTTTGGTGCATATTTGCATTATTTGCTTAAGTTGTGCTCTACTACTCTTCGTTTGTGTGTTTTGATGAATTTCAGGTGATTTATATGCAAATGGAGTATGGTTGGCTAATATTGAGTATAATAATCATGGAGTATGAAAACA